GACGAGATACATACGTAGGATGAATACTCCTCATTTAACTGATTTACTGGCAGTCTTTAAATTCTATTTATAAGAGAAAAATAAATAATATAGTCGATTGTCTTAGCTAATATAAATTTTCTTCATCGGCAATCCAATCAAATAATGTGATATGGGAAAATGCCTTGCCTTCCTTGGAATTCATATCTGCCCTCTGATCCAAGGGCGCTCGTGGCAATGTGGCGTAGTGGTTAGCGTGACGAGATTACAGGTTGCACTGCCATGGTTAGACTCCTGCTATGGGTGTTGATATGACATAGGCAAGCTTGAAACGGCACTCCATCTTGGATGAGAATATCTTTTGAAAAGTAGGACTGTCAAATTCAATGGAAATGTGATCTCTATTCAGATAATTGTGGGAAAATCCAACTAACAGCTCCTCGTCACCTTAAACGAGATAAAGTGAATACATCTCATAACTGATTTACTGGTAGTCTCGACACTACTTATAAACAATTCATAAAAAAAAACTTAGTTTGGGTCATTTAAATGATGTTTTTAAATTTCATTTAGCATTACTTTCCAGGAGTCTTCAATTCAGACTGTACTACAGATTATACATTTTTCATATCTCATTAGCAAACCCGAATGGATCCGAAACAGATTAAGGTGCATCAACTGGAGACAGGTCGACATGGCTGGCAGTATGTCACATGTAGATTTGAATTTAAATGCAAACCAGCTCTTCCAAATCAAATTTTTAGCGAGATTGCCAATGAGGCAAGCATGTAATTGCCATTAGAATATAAGACTTTAGCTATATTCACTTTAAACCTGTTTAGGGACTGTCCGTAAGTAGTGATTAATGGGCCTTATATGTACGTTTGCCTATTCAAGCATCTCCTTCAACCATACATAGTTAATTGGTCACTTTTAGAATGATTATTCCCATTCGCATCAGACCCCAAATTGTATCACCTATTTTGATTTCCGTATGCTCAGCGTGTGCTTGGGGACTTGGCAGCTTGGGCATGGGTCCATTCCAGTCTGGGGATTCGGACGCTGCGAGAAGTGTATCCTCTGCTGCCTGGGCTCGAGCCACCGTCTGATTGTCTTGCTTCCTTTGGCATTGCCCATCTTGCTGAATTCGTGTGCATTATTGGTTTCAGACAGTCTGGAGCCGTTACTTTGTTACACTTAGCCAAGTGTTGGCATTTAGCCTCCGCTCCGAGTTCTATTGTCTGTCTGACATCCCAGTTTCTGGAAGAGCATTCTTCCGCTCCAAGCCTGTGTCTGCGTTTGTCTCTGCGGGTTGCCTCCTCACCGTTAGTGACTACATTTAACAACACTCTTTCACTGACAGCCAATCACTAAATTACATGGCACACGGAGATTGCCAAATATCCAGTTGTCCCTTTGTATCGGTCACCCTCGCCCATGACTGAAACCCCATGAAGTCAGCTAGTCTACAGACTCATTTGCTCAAACAACTGCTTATTTGCATATTTGAAGGCC